GGCCACACCAACGCAGTCTGCTAACACGTGCACGACCAGCACATGCACACACACACAAACACGTGCCTACACACGCATGCCCACATGCGAAACAGGCGAGACCCCGTCCACCGATCCACCCCATCCCAGCAGACCACACTAACAAACACACAATGCACACAATGCACACACACCACACCACACCACACCACACCATACCACACCACACCACACCACACCACACCACACCGCACCACACCACACCTCTCCCACGCAACACCCATCCCGCCAACCCCCACCCCATCCCACCTGCGCCTCGTCCCACAGCACCGCCTCTGAGGGGTACAGCGGCATCGCATTGATCGCCGCCCGCTGCCCGCGCCGCCGCTCGTAGGCCGACACCACCACCTCCTCCAGGAACTCGCGCCGCGCCGCCCAGGGGTCCGACTCAGATGCGAGCCGCAGCTGCCGGCACACGAGCCGCGCCAGCTCGTCGTCCGCGAGCGCGCCCAGCTCGCGCCTGAGGGCGTCGCGCTTGTCCACGGCGGCGCAGTTTGAGAGGGCCAGGTCCTTGAGCTGCGGCCAGTGGCGGAAGAACAGCCGCTGCAGCTGGGTCACCTGGGGGAGGGGAGAAGTGGGTGGTGTTTGAGGTTTCGTGTTGGAGGGTTGATAAGGCGGACGGCGCGGTGAGATGGCTCGTACGGAATAGGAGGTTTCGGCCAGGCGTGGGACCGAGCTGGGGCGTACCAGCCGGCAGGCCGCTGCCCAGTGCCCTGAAACAGATCCTCAGGCCGGCGCGCATGGCTAGGTGTTTCAGGGGCACAGTGCAGCGGTGTGCAGTGTGTCAGCGTGTATACATGCTCTCGCTCTCTTCCTCTCACTCACTCACACACACACACGCACACACACACACACACACACACACACGTATTGCCAACTTGCATAACGCCGTCGACAAGAAAGCAAGACCAGAAGAATTGCAGAGTCAACAAATTGTCAGCATGCAGCAGCAAGGCAACACGCGGCCGTGTGCCCTTCAGCCCCGAAAGATGATAAGTTGAGATCGTCACTGGAGTGGGTACCGACCAGAGTCCCCAGTCAGAGTGTGTTGGAAAACGGTTTCATCACCGGGCAGCAGCTCGCACACTCACTCACTTACTGACTCACACTCTCTGTCTCTGTGTCTGCCTCTCTCTTACACACACACATGCACGTACACACACATGCACGCACACACACAACACGCGCACACACATGCACGCACACACACACGCACACACCGCCGCAGTTGAACAACGCGCACGATATCAGGCAAATGAGGTGAGGGCAAAGCATGTGCACAATCCAGCATGCTGCATCACGACAATGCGCCGCTGCGTGCCCATCAGCCCCGAAAGATGATAAGTTGAGATCTTCACTGGAGTGGGTACCGACCAGAGTCCCCAGTCAGAGTGTGTTGGAAAATGGTTTCATCACTGGGCAGCAGCTTACGCACTTACTGACTCACTGACACTCTCTGTCTCTGTCTCTCCCTCTCTCACACACTCACATACACACACTCGCATACACACGAATGCACGCACACACGCGCGCACACATACACACACAGGCCCGCCTGCCTTCAGTCACATGCACACACAAACACATTCCATGTCCCCCTTCGCTGCGCCCAGCCCCCTTGGGGCGGCCCCCACCTTCTCATAGTGCCGCCCCAGCACGTCGTCCTCCTTCAGGGGCTCCCCCGTGTGGTCGTCAATGGGGAAGTCCAGGTAGAACGACGCCAGGTCGAGCAGCTGGCGGAACCTAGGGGAGTTTGGGTGGAGGCGCATGGAACACACAGTGCTGCGGCTTGATGGGGTCGGGATCGGGGGCAGCAGCCGACAGTTGCAGGGCCCCTTGAGGTTGCCGGGCAGGGGCAAGCCGCCAAAGCACAATGCCGCCGTGTGCATGTCGCGCAACAGGGCACTCCGGAGGTCACACCCTCGGCCCTGTAACCCCACGCCCCACGTCGCCCCTGCAATACACCAACCCACCCCGGCCGCACCTGTCGGCCCTCGGCCAGCGGTACAGGCCGCTCAGCCGCGCCTTGACCGCCACCGCCCGGTCCTCCAGCACCGCGTGCACGAAGCGCCGCGTGGGCAGCTGGCTCAGCAGGTCAATCACCAGCTCCACGCACCGCTCCACATGCAGCAGCAGCCCGCGGTCGGGGCCCCGTGGGCCGCGCGGCTTCCGAGGCTTCTTGGCGGCGCGCGGCTTGGCGCCCTTGGCGCCCTTGGCGGCGGCGACGCCGTTGGCTGCCGCCGCCGGCTCCTGCGCCTGCTCCTGTTCCTGCTGCTGCTCATGCTGCTGCTGCTCGCCGTCCGCCTGCTCCCCAGCCTGCTCCTCCGCGGCGGCCTCCTGACCGTCCGCCCCCTCCTGCTCCTCCTCTTCCTGCTCCTCGTCCGAGCTCTCCCCCTCCTCCTCCTCGCCCTCCGCCTCTGCCTCTGCCGCGCCGGCC